GTGTAGGAGAAGGAAGGTCGGCGGCTCAGCGGTGTTCGTGAATATAACTGTCCGTTTTCAGTTCCGTAGTTTGTAGCTGAACACTGCTGGCCATTCGGCAGTTTAAAATGGCCGCTGCCACGTGTTCAGCTAAACGAATAGCGGCCACCCAGCGTTCATCAATTAAGCTGCGGTTAACCACAGCTTTTGGGAGGTAAATTACTGGCACAGCACAGCACTGGCAAGCATACTGGACACTGGGAGGTCTTATCCTTTATATTTATATTATTTATATTGATTTTATTATATTTTTTTCAAATAAATATTTTTTCTCTGGAACATATTTTATCTCCACTGCCTGGTATTGAAAGAAAAAGTTACACTCCAACAAGTACCACCAAAGAGGTTTGGGGATCACCCAATTAAGATCCCAGAGGAGATCCACACCAGAGCCAGGTTTCATTCTATGGCTCTTTCATTGTGAGTGCATAAGATTTATGCTTTTTTTTTATATTCTGTGTATAGAAATACCTGCACTATCTTGTACCTCTCTATCTTTTACAGCAAGAAAGGTAGAAGAGAGGGAAGTACATTTTATTATTATTATCACTTGCTCCACCTATTTTTTGTGTATTATAAATTACTGGCACACTCCATACCCAGGTGGTCCGGTTATGCGTCTGTTTGTTCGGTAGAAAGGCATGAACAAGACTTTCTAGAGGGAAAAATAAAGGTTTTTAACACTGGGCCATAGTCCAGAGGTAGCAGGCGGGCAACCAGGCTTCTCCAGAACATAGTGGCGAGGTTGGTTTCACCACAGTTCGGTTACCGAACAAGCACCACCCCAGATCCTCATTAGAACTTGGAACGTTAAGTATCCTGTACGAAAACGTCAAAGGAAACAATTCATAGAATGGACTACTGGGCAATGCAGAAATCGGCAGCTTAAATTGATTTAATGTCTGAATCTCTAAAAACAGGCAATATTTTGAACTTATTTAGACGTATGGGTTAATTTGCTAGAGTTCATGTAAAATTGTGCTACTGAAAATGAATGCCAAACTATCCGGTTAGATGGCAAATGCGAGCTTCCATACCAGAAAAAAACTCATCCCGAAAACTTCCATAGGAAAATATATAAATAGCTAAAGAATAGTGTTTCACTTTATAATGTATTATATTTTATTAATTAATAGAAATCACCATTTTTATAAAGGAACCTTTAAACCATTAAAGATTTAAATCAAAGAAAAGAAGTCTATGTATATTCATAGTGTGAATTGTGCTGTTCAGATGCACCTATCAGAGCTTTCCTAGCTATTGGACATACAAGAGTATTATGCTACTCTTTTAGGGGACTCACTTACCTGACTGACATCACTACACCACTGGATTTCTCCTTTCTGTTAGTTTATCATATTTACACAACTTCTATCACTTTTGAAACATGTTTCTCACGTTTAAAGCATGCATCTAATCCAATATATTCAAACTAATAAAACATGAAAGTTACCTAGATGCCCACAAAACAGCTAAAACATTTATCAACATCCTAGCATTCATTTAAGAATTGTAGATCATGCCTGGATACTTTTTAAATCAAAATAAATTATAAAATTACAAATGATAAAATACACAACCCCCTCTATTTTTCTGCATCGTATTTTGCAACCATTTTTTCTTTTAATTAGTGGTGTCGAGATTTATGGGGGTTTTTTAGTGCTGAAGAACAGAAGAATTACAAGAAAGATGACTTTTTTTGGTAACTATATATATTGTGACCCACTAATAACTATTATCGGGGTGAGTGGGAGTAGGTAGATACTTTATTTAGGAGGCTGGCTAGAGGATTGGGGACCCATAGCCACCCTAGGGGAGGACTTTCTATAATTTGAGGGGGTAGTTAATGACATGTCCACCCCTCTATTTTGTAATTAATTAGGGCCAGTACACACCAGCATGGGTGGTGATTCTGGGAGAGGAGACTAGGACCCCCCCTTATTATAAGTTTTAGGGCCCCCACCTGCCAAATATGCTGGGGCCAGGGGAGGGGACAACCTGTTAAAAATAAAAGCAGCCCCAACCCAATGCCGTGGGATGGGATACTTTTATAATGTGGCCGCTGGCAACAAGCGCTGGTCAGCCAATACGTAACCCACATGCTGGCGAGGAATTTTAACTGTTTGCCCTCTAGCCAGGGGCGTACCTAGAGCATTTGGCACCCGGGGCGGATCCTGTGCTTGGCACCCCCCCCAAAAAAAAAAAAAAAAAAAACCTGTAAAAAATGTTAAAGGTTTTATTTCTTTTATTTTTACAATTTGTAAACTTTGCAAAACCGCTGTCAGCCCCTCCTACAAAACCTTTGTCCTGCCCTGCCCCTCCTACAAAACCTCTGTCCTGCCCCTTCTACAAATCCTGTACTGCCCCATTTACAAAACCCCCGCAACCCCCTTCCACAAATCCCCTGCTTATCCCCCCTTATAAAGACTCCTGTCCCAATACAAAACCCCCACCCCCTTCTACAAAATCCCTGCAGCCCCACACACACATTTACAGGCAGACAGTCACACACTCAGTTACAGACAGACAGTCACACACTCAGTTACAGGCAGACAGTCACACACAGTCACAGGCAGACAGTCACACATACACATTTCCTCCGTGCGGCCAGTTTATCAGCTGTTTGCTTGAGTGAGCTGTACTGGCCGCACGGCACCCTAACTACCATGGGACACTGTGCGGCCACAGCTCACACAGCCCCCCTCCAGCCAGGGCCGGTACAAGGATTTTTGCCGCCCTAGGCAAAAGTAAAGTTTGCCGCCCCCCATGTGACATCACAATGCCCCAGCCATATGATTTGCCATGTTAACTAACGCCAGTGCTGCAGTGCCGCCGTGTTTACATTAAAAGGCCTGCAGGGACAGGCTATAGACACCAGAACCACTACATTAAGCTGAAGTGGTTCTGGGGACTATAGTGTTTCTTTAATGTGAGGTAAATTAGAGCTTAGTGCCACGAATAATATACTAGATTGCCTACTTACAACCAGATGATGGGCTCTAGCTGCAGTCTGGCTCCACTGGTCTGGTGCAGAACAGGCTCTCTGGAGGCGGTTTGTAACTGTGGTCACAAAAATCAATGTTCTGGGAGAACGGGAAGCAGCTCCATTTTTTGGGGGTCCTTTACACAGCTCAAGGTCTGGGTCCCAGGGTCCACCTTCATGTTCCACCAATGAGTTTGTTCACAGGGGGTGGAGTGTGTAGGGATGTCCTGATATGTGTGTAAGGAATGCATTGTGTGAAATTGTGTTTGTATGTGTAAGGACTGCAAGGTGTGTTTCTGTGTATGTATGGGATGCATTGAATGTGTGTAAGGGGTGCATTGAGTGTGTGTAATGAATGCATTGTGTGTTTCTGTGTGTGTAAGGGATGCATTGTGTGTAACGGTTGCATTGCTTGTGTATGTGTGTCTGTGTGTTTTTCTGTGTGCAAGGGGTGCATTGTGAGTATGTGATGAATGTCAATCTCTCCTCCCGCTCCAATTTCCTTCTCCTCCTCCTAATTTCTCTTTCTCACCCCCCTCCTAATTTCTCTCTCACCCCCGCCCTATTTTCTCTCACCCCCCCTCCTTTCTCACCCCCCCATTTCTCTTTCTCACCCCCCCTTATCTCTCTCTCACCCCCCCTTATTTCTTTTTCTCACCCCTCTCTCACCCCCCCTTATTTCTCTTTCTCACCCCCCTTATTTGTCTTGCTTTCTCTTTCTCACCCCTTATTTCTTTTCTCACACCCCTTATTTCTTTTCTCACCCCTCTCTCACTTATTTCTCTTTCTCACCTCCTCTCACCCCTTATTTCTCTTTCTCACCCCTTATTTCTTTTCTCACCCCTCTCACCTTATTTCTCTTTCTCACCCCTCTCTCACCCCCCTTATTTCTTTCTCACCCCCTCTCCCCCTTCTTTCTCCCCTCCCCCCTACCTCCCTGTAGCGTGGCCGAGCCCTGTATAGTCCGCGGGTACAGGGAGCTTTTGTTTCCTGTACCCGGCCGGACTAACAGGAAGTGCACACTCAGTGTTCACTTCCTGTTAGTCCGGCCGGGTACAGGAGACAGCTGCTCTCTGTACCCGTCGGACCATGCTGCAGTGAGGGAGCTGACAGGAGCGCTCCCTCCTGTCAGCCTCTCCTCAGGCTGCGCCCGGGCGGTGCGGTCCGCCCTCATGGACGCACCGCCCGGGCAATGCTGCAGCCGCCTGAGGCTCTTCACAGAGCGCTCGGGCGGCTGCAGCATGGGGGGGGGCGGCGGGGCTGGTCATGGCACCCCCCACCCGGCTGGCACCCGGGGCGGACCGCCCCCCCCGCCCCCCCCTTAGTACGCCACTGCCTCTAGCTGCTAGCATTCAGATTTTTTTAAATCCAGGCCCAGTCTTCGATTCTCCCAGCCTAGATTTGCTGCATTTGACACAGGTTTCAGACATCCGGCGGAATTCAACTTTGCTGAATTCCACACTAAATTCAGGCTCGTACGGGGCAGGATTTACAAAATCCAGACATTGACGAATTCCATCAACAATGTGCGGATTTTGCAGTACAAATGGCCCCATATTTAGTTGGATGGTTTTACACCCATTGGTTTTGCGGCCAATCGGACATTAGTAAATAATTCTGAACTAAACATGATATTTTTATCCCAGAACACTGACATCCTTTAATTAGGCAAGCCTGTATGAGGGCAAGAATGTAAAATATAATTATGATTAGTAGTAAACATTTAATTATTTGCTTATTTAATTCCAGCTGATTTATCTTCACCCAGATCAACAGTTAAATCACTGTTTGGGACATGGACTAGTTTTTTGTTTTTTTTAATTCTTTATTTTTGCGAGTATTGGCAAATAATACAACACATTTTGTGAATATCAGGTATATGATATAGACAGTACAGGTATACATACATCACCTAGCTGAACCTACTCAGTTTTTTTGGGGGGGGATCTAGTGCACCCAGACTCTTCTCTAGGTGGAACTAGGGCTTGTGAGTTGGGGGGTGCTGTTGACGGGCTTCATGCGCCTTGTGGCTACTTCGCAGTGCGCTCTGATTATATGCTTTAATAAGGCGCTTATTTAAGGTTTGAGCGGGCCTGTATCTTTCCAAAGCTGGGGTATGTGTTTTTGTAAGTTGGTGCTGGTGCAGGTGGCTGGAGTTGTACGCGGTGCAGTCAGAGGTCGACTGTGTTGCGCGTTGGTGTCGCTTGTGGACTCTGTGCTGTTGGGGTGGAGGGGGACATGGTTACTCTAATTTAGCGCTATGTCTGGAGCTTACGGAGCCAACAATATAACAACAGAGGTATGGTATATAGTTATTATCAACAGTAAAGAAAGGCAACAATTAACGATTTTGGTAGTATGCAGGAAGGTACAGTCCCAAAGTTCAGGATGGCAGTTCAACCGCCGCGGGTACTCCCCCTCTGGGTACAAATGGGGTAACGTCTGCTCCATTCCAGGTTGAGTGGACTGCTGCCGTTGTCTGTGCCACTGACCACACTTTATATAAATAAAAAAGGTTTACAGTGCAAATACTGCTGTTGCATATACTGTGCATAAATAGAAAATGTTTACAGTGCAAATACTGCTGTTGCATATAATGTGCATAAAAAAATTTAAACATTTTCAACAATTGAACATTTTCAACAACTGAACATTTGCAAAAAACACCACTGTACCATAAAATCAAATATACATAAAAAAGTGCACAATAACTAAATCCAACATACTTAAAACACACACACACTAACAGACACACACTCACTAACAGACACACACACTAACAGACACACACACACTCACTAACAAACACTAACAGACACACACACTAACAGACACATACAGACACACACACTATAACAGACACACACACACTAACAGACACACACATTCACTCACATTAACATACTCACTTTTTTTTTTTTTTTTTTTTAACCCCCCAGTCTCCTTACCTTTGGGAATGCTGGAGGGGGTTCTCCTTCTCCCTGGGGTCTAGTGGGGCTGCTAGGCAGTCGGGCTGCGCTGGCGAGGGAGCACTTTCCCCTGAGCATTCTGCTCAGCTCCGTCGCGCGCCACAGAGTGATGCTGGGAGCCGGAATATGAAAGTGCTCCCTCGCCAGCGCCACCCGACCTACTGATTGTTAGTTAGCCGCAAGGCTAACAAGACATTTTGGAAAGTGCCGCCCAAGGCAAATGCCTTGTTTGCCTTGCCCAGAGCAAATGCCTTGTTTGCCTTGCCCAAGGCAAATGCCTTGTTTGCCTTGTGACTAATACGTCCCTGGTCGTTGTCTTGGGGCCCCAAGCAATTGCTTGGTTTGCTTGCCTTGTCGTGACGGGCCTGCAAGAGAGAAGTGACCAAAAAGGGAAAACTAAGAGGAGCAAAGAGAAGGAACAGCAGAAAAAATATCTATATAAACATATAAATATATATTTTGCTTTTACTGCTTTTCCTTTTTTTCCTCTGTTGGTCACCTCTCATTTGATCTGTAAATAAAATCAGCATTTAACTTCTTTTTTTGGGGGGGATGGGACTTACAAAGTAAATAATACGGTGTGTCCATTGTCCAGTTCAGTTGTTCCATGACACATTCATGTGATGCTTTGGAGTTACGGAGTTCAGACAATCTGCGATCACCCTAAATTTGCACAGGTTGCAATATGTTTTAAACTGAATGCCCAAGTCTGATATGCACACATACAGTTGCAAGAAAAAGTATGTGAACCCTTTGAAATGATTTGGATTTCTGCACAAATTGGTCATAAAATGTGATCTGATCATCATTTAAGTCACAACAATAGACAATCACAGTCTGCTTAAACTAATAACACACAAAGAATGAAATGTTGCAATGTTTTTATTGAACACACCATGTAAACATTCACAGTGCAGGTGGAAAAAGTATGTGAACCCCTAGACTAATGACATCTCCAAGAGCTAATTGGAGTGAGATGTCAGCCAACTGGAGTCCAATCAATAAGATGAGATTGGAGGTGTTGGTTACAGCTGCCCTATAAAAAACACACACCAGCTCTGGGTTTGCTTTTCACAAGAAGCATTGCCTGATGTGAATGATGCCTCTCACAAAAGAGCTACGATTAAGAATTGTTGACTTGCATAAAGCTGGAAAGGGTTATAAAAGTATCTCCAAAAGCCTTGCTGTTCATCAATCCACGGTAAGACAAATTGTCTATTAATGGAGAAAGTTCAGCAATGCTGCTACTCTCCCTCGGAGTGGCCGTCCTGTAAAGATGACTGCAAGAGCACAGCGCAGACTGCTCAATGAGGTGAAGAAGAATCCTAGAGTGTCAGCTAAAGACTTACAAAAGTCACTGGCAAATGCTAACATCCCTGTTAGCGAATCTAAAATAAGTAAAACAATAAACAAGAATGGATTTCATGGGAGGATACCACAGAGGAATCCACTGCTGTCCAAACAAAACATTGCTGCACGTTTACAGTTTGCACAAGAGCACCTGGATATTCCACAGCAGTACTGGCAAAATATTCTGTGGACAGATGAAACCAAAGTTGAGTTGTTTGGAAGAAACACACAACACTATGTGTGGCGAAAAAAAGGCACAGCACACCAACATCAAAACCTCATCCCAACTGTGAAGTATGGTGGTGGGGGCATCATGGTTTGGGGCTGCTTTGCTGCGTCAGGGCCTGGACAATCCTCTTTCTACTAATGAAAATTTTAAACATGAACTTGTACTGTTAATCTATATGCTTTTATGGTCCCATATAAGAATTTCTGTGAGTAGAAAGATATTTGCTATATTCCTGCAGATATTACATGAACAAAAAAAATTGTTCTCACTTAGGAAGCCTTGAATATATTTGTTTTCCAGTATTTTTCAATGATAATCATGATTTTGTGTTGACAGATGGAGCACAGCAGAAAAGAAAGGAGAAAGGGAGGTGTGTGATCAGCATGGATACTGTAGGGATACAAAATACAACAGTTTGAAGCTGTGTCCATGACCTAGAAGCTGCGCGGTTGTGGAGAGACAGACAGATAAAAAGAAGTGGTCTGACAGATCCAGGGCTTGTTTCATACATCTAGGCAAAGCCACGGCATCGGATAAGATGAAATGGAAACCCGAAGCTAGATGAGGGTCTCTGAAAATAATGATAGGATAGGTAAAGGAGGTTCAAACAGCATTTCAGGCACCCCCTTTTTTCCACTTTTAGCTGCTATTTATTCCAGCTTGTTTCCATCCTCCTCTGGGTTCCACGGCATCCTAAAGATACTTTTTATCTCTTGTATCCAAGTTACTCACATGGTTCCTATTTCATTCGCTGACTTATTATTTTATTTTTCCATCAAGCTTTTCTTGCTGCTCACAACCAATATGTATCTGTCTTTCTATTGGGATCAGTTTGAGATTTTTCTCTCTTTCTCGTCTGAATATGTAGGAGATCATCATATAAAAGCTAACAACTTAGTTAAGAAAAAGAAACAGATTAGTCTATACACTCAGAAAAATTATAGAGTCTAACCTAGGCCATATCACAGGAATTATCTTTAAAACCTACTTTTATTGAAATTGCAATCAGTTTTTTCATTTATAAGCTCAACTCCACAGATGGTGCGTGTCACAGTCTACTTGCCACTTTGGTAACAGTTCCATAATACACAGTAATACAAGACTTAGAATGTTCAACCTGTAACATATTTACATCAGTGGATCATCATTTCATTAAAGGAACATGATAGGTTCAGGAACACAAATGTATTCCTGACCCTTTAGTGTTAAAACCACCATTTAGGTGGTTTTCCCCCTCTTTGTCAAATTAGAAAGGGTTTATACCTTGTTTCCAGTGCCGCGTGGGTCTGCCAGCCCTGTTCACGCCCATAATTTTGCCACTTTGGCAGACATCATCAGAATTGATGATCTCAGTCAGTCACACAGCTTTTCCATAAAGAAAGCACTGGATTGGCTTAGATCGTCAAGGACGAAAGGTGGGGGTGTGGCCAAATGCCAGCCTGGCCTATCAGCATTTTTTTATTGGATTGCCACACACACCTTGTTTTCTTGGATATATATCACTTATACATGGTGATTACCAGTTTTTAAAAAGGCTGGCATATACTACGTAGTACTTATTTACATGAGGGAGAAATTAACTAGTTTCTTTTCAATGCTTGTAATGGAGCATATTGTTACCATGACTTTTTGTGAACTGCTATAACCGCTATAAAGTATTTTTTAAGTATTTCAATGCAATATACAAGAGATACAAAATAATTTATTTTAAGAAATATGGTCACACCTCTATTTTTTTATTTTTTTCATTTTGTACAAAAGTTCACTTCACTTCAAATCATCTATTTCATAGATGGAAAAACATCTTTCTAAAAAATTTATTAATGATAGTAAAGATGTGTGTATCATCAAAGACACAGCAGTAAGAGGAGGACTTTCTGTTGCAGAGGCATTATGGACATCCTTTAAAGGATCTATAATACAAATGCATTTTAAAATGTGAGTTTTAGCTATCCAGAATGTTTTTATTAACTTGTCTAGACACTGTTTCTTCCTATTGCAAGTAAAATTTTTTATTATTTTCTGTTCAGTAACATGTAACAGCTTAACTCCTTAATGCCGCTATGGCATTCTATAATAATAATAATATAATGGCCTTTAAAGACGCCGCAGAGCTTGAGTGGACTTTCCTCCACCCTGATTTGCCTCGGAAGAACTGCCTGACAGCCCAGGCAGTACCCCTTTGGTGAATCAGGCCCCTGTGGGCCATGTGTTCTCTCTAACAGAGTTTCATGACATTCACAGTTAAAATGAAATAAAAAAGCTGAAAGTCTGTAGTTAAAGCACATCTTGTTCATTTCATTTCAAATCCATTGTGCTGGTGTATAGAGCCAAAACGATTAGAATTATGTTGATGTCCCAATATTTATGGACCTGACTGTATGTCGCCTGAGTACAGCAATACCCCCGAATGTACCTTTGCCAGGTATATGTGGATGTTGATGGGGCACATTTGAGACGCAGGCATTCAGTTTTTTTTCTAACTTTGAAGTTTTACGCTGTGTCCATGTTCCATCTTCGAGTAGTTTAGATGGTTGGTTATTGAAACTTCCCCACAAAGACATATTATTTAATATTAAAGATAAAGAATACACCCTAGGGTAATTCAAAAGGTGTATTTTGAACCTGGGATAATTTTTTCTCTAGTTTGTTCCAAGTTTAGTGGTAATGAACGTTTTTAAATGTATTTTTTTTACTTTTTAAAGCTTTTTTTTACTTTTTAAAACTAGTTTTTAAACTTTTGTTTTGCTTATTAGTTTTTTAAAACTTTCCTAAACTTTCTTAAAACTTTTTTACAGATTTAAAATTTTTATAAGCTTTTTTTTTTACCGTTAACCCCTAACTAGCAGTAAGCAGCACTAACACCAAATTCCCCAATTTCCCACTAACTTCCACCCACCCCA